TTCAATTATTTTGATATCTTGCGCTCAAATCAATATCTCCAATAGATACTTGCTGGAATGACCTTTTCAAGGGCCAATCTTCAGGAGAGGAGATCTGCATTTCTATTGAATAGTGGCACCTTCAAATATCATTCCGGGATCCGTCTGCCTGACTTCTTAAAAAATGGTGGAGTGGAAGACAGCCCACTGGCAATTTTATGGAACCTCGTCCCTGCCTCATTATTCAAGTGGGTGTAAAGAGAATGTGTAGATGACCTTGGGGAAGAGGGGAAAAGATGTTGCCTCAGAAACCATCAGAGAAGAGCGGAGGAGCCCCCAGTGGCTTAACAGGCAGATTAGAAAGGACTTGCCCTAATGGATAAAACACTTAAAAATGGGAGTGGGAAGTTTATACGTTTAGACTTGCAAGATTCTGTTAATATAACTTTAAAGCAGAATTAGTTCATTTAATCATGTTTTCTACTTGGTTTAGCTCCAAGGTCTGATACTGGGCCACTGGTAGGGGCAATCTTTAGAAGGCCAGATCCTGAAGATGAAACTCAAATACTTTGGCCACCTAATGAGAAGGAAGGACTCACTGGAGAAGAGCCTCATGCTGGGAAAGATTGAGGACAAAAGAAGAAGGGGATGACAGAGAATGAGGTGGCTGGACAGAGTCACTGAAGCAGTCAGTGTGAGCTTAAATGGACTCTGAGGGATGGTAACAGAGAGGAAGGCCCTGAGGAACGTTGTCCATGCGGTCGCGATGGGTTGGACATGTCTTTGCAATTAACAACAACAAAGTGAACAGGTGAGAGAGATATGTTTCACTGCTGCTTTCACTGTCTAGTGGGGATTTGAATATTTTTTGTTTAAGTCATTCTTTGCCTACATTTTTATAGGTTGGGTAGCAAGTAGCAGTTAACATGGATTTCCATCAGCTTTGGAGGAAGAAAAGATCCACTGTTTACTATGTAGAATTCTTGAAACTTTCATGGGATACTCTTGGTAGCATTCTCAGGGAATGGACAAGTGAGAAGGTTCACCGTACTGCAAGAGCTGCGGTGTAGCAGTGGTTAGAATGCAGTACTACAGGCTAATTCTGCTGACTGCTGGCTGCCTGCAGTTTGGCAGTTCAGATTTCACCGCCTCAAGGTTGATTCAGCCTTCCATCTTTCCAAGGTTGGTAAAACGAGAACCCAGATTGTTGGGGGCAATATGCTGACTCTGTAAACTGCTTAGACAGGGCTGTAAAGCACTGCGAAGCTGCATCTGTCTAAGTGCTATTGTTATCATGGTGTTGTGATTAAACACCAGCCCTTTTTTACATGTGTTGCAACATTGCAGGCACACCCTGAAGAGTTGGAACCTGCCCCGGAAGGACACAATTCACATTCTCATGGAGAAACAAACAGTCTGCAGATGCCCCTGGAGACTCAAATCCTTCCAACGAAACATTTCAAGTGGAGCAGTTTCTGCAGACTGTTTGTTTCAGAACAAAGCAGCTATTCATATTTGATAGAGTAGTCAGCCTTTGACCGGTTTTTATGATTGTTTATTGACCTTGGCATGTCTTTGCTACAAGCCAATGGCCGGTCAATAGAAATGGGTTCTCTGTACGGTTCTTATGGTTAATCTAGTTGACCTTCACTTCTGGAAAGATAAATCTATGGCCTCAATTCCTCAAAGGTTTGAACCTGATGTTATTTGCAATTTATGAATGAATGAGTTGCAGATAAAGATTATAGATAAGAAGATTACACTGAGGATGGGATTGTCCTTTGGTGCAACCTTCATGTGAAGCTCTTACTAATACAATACTGTGGTTGTCGGGAGTGTTTTGCTCTTTTTCTTGTTTTCTTCTGTTTTTTAATTGGTTGTTTATTTATTGTTTATTTTTGCAATGGCAAAATAAAATCAATTCTAAAATGTAGGCTACAAAAATCCAGATCATGACTGTATTGCTGAAAAAGAGGAACTAAGAGTTCTGGTTTTCTTTCTTGCCACAATCTTGTAGTCATGCCAGACTTTCAGATGTTTGCGGTCCAGACATGAGAGGCCAAGTGGTCACATCATGACTCTCAAGAAAACAAATTTATGTAGCATCTTAATTTTTCCACCTTGGAGTTCATCAAACATGACAGGTTGATGTTCTTTTTATCTTAATAGTTAACATTAACCTGAATACTCAATTTTACTTTCTGAGTAGGCTCTTCTAAATCTTTTGATGTTTACCTAAGCAAATTAGGTTTTTATGCGTATCTCAAATTGCTAATCTGTGGTATAAGGTCTCTGGGCCCCAAAGCAAACCTCCGATCTGGCTGGCAAAACTCCAGGCTAATTGATGCAGCAATAAGTTAAGAGTTTTATGTATCTTTTGGCAATCACCTAAAGGTTATCTAGATTTTAGCACTCTATGTAATGTCAAGGTCTGTCTTTTCTTTCTTTACTTGTTTCTTCCCAACTAGAAGGAAGAAGAAGATGCAGAGAATGGCAAGAGTAAACATAATGAGGTCAGTCTTAAGCTAAGAGGCACCTGGAAACAGGTGTTAGGATGATGTACCAATGTTAGTGTCTATGACCAGCTGTTCTGCTTTCCTAGCTTGACCTGAGATGTTTATACAGTATATAAGACTAGCTGATAACCCGGCACTGCCCAGATATTTATTTATCCCAACCCTTCTTCCATGAATGTTGCCGCAATTTCTAATGTTGGATTTCCCCTTTTACCAGAGAGAGCCTCCTTGTGGAGTACTCTGAAGCTGTTACCATGGAGACTCCATGGTGCTATACAGTAGAAGCCATTTTAAGACAGTACGGTAGAAGCCATTTTAAAGCAAACAGGCTCTTAACAGAACACACACACCAAGGGGTGTTAGGGGTGTCTTTCCCCCACAATATTTTTCTCCAGAGAGTAAATCATCTGTTTGGTTGAAATTTATTCTAAAAATCATAAACTGTTTGTAGAAGGAAGACCAACTGACAAAGATATCTTGTCAGAGAAGGTAACTGCCATCTGGTTCTTTGCTGATCTTCACTGCTGTCACTCAGCAAAGCTGAACAATTTCTTCTTTCATAGCGCATCCCAGAAAACTAGAGGTGGGTTCCTACCAATTCGGACCGGTTCAGCTGAATAGGTAGTAGCTTGGCCTGCCACGCCCCAAAGCAGTTCTCTAGGTGGCACCATCTTGTTTTTTGGTACATTTTTTAGTACTGTGCATGCGCGCAGTGCACAGCGCGTCCCTGAGCGAACTGACAGTAGCAGGAACCCACCCCTGCAGAAAATGTATTATTTTATAGCTGCTTTGACCAGACTGGTGCTTAGTAAGGGTAAGAATTTACTTCGGGGTCTCATCTTTATTATGCGAGAGGGGACCATTCAGAATGCCATGCTTGAGAGCCTCCAAACTCCTGAAGTTCATGCTGATTATTGTTGCCTTGGAGTTACCAGACCAACAAGTTTGTAACACATGATGCCAAACAAATAATGAATTCCCTGGTTTTAAATGAACATGCTGACGCTGTCTTGATCCCCAGCCTAGGCCTCAACTCAGTTCCAGACTAATAAACTTATGTAGACACATAAAAGCAGGGAGCCTTTTGTGACAGCTTACTCACTGTGCCTGGCTTTGCACAGATTGAGCAAAAATTGAGCAGATTGAGCCAGAGGCAAAGCTGGTTCTTCCTGTCTGAAGTTCAAGATAACATGCACAACAATGATTGGCTGGTCCCTCCTAATAACAAGAAAATTTTCTCCCAAAGAGCCTCTTTCTTGGAGCAGTTCATGAAGCTGCTACAGGCTGCCAAAATGATTGGAGTTATTGCAACCGGTACATTTGATATGAATGTCAGGCCTGCAGCCATCTTTTCTTTTGGATCTTTGGCCTGCCACACTTTTTATTATTCTACTATGCATTTTCTATTGTGGGAAAATGGGAGGGGGGATTGTAT